ACATACAAGAATTTTTATTTGTATAGGAGGCAGGCACTTGCCTATAATATTGTAAGCATGTATTGTTTAAGCAATCACAAGTTATTTTCATATGTAATCTCTACAATAGTATATGAGATACAATAGGAGATGCAAAGCCAACTGTTGTCTTGTGCAGGATTTCATTTATTTCCCTGAGATCTGTTGGCTCTTCAGACTTTAGTAAAGATAAGTTTTCTTTTCTATTTTGTTATGATGTATGGTCTTAAACGCTAGGCAACTATAACTTATTTTAAGAGGTATCCAGTGAATGGCTCTGGAATATTTTAAAATGGTAAAATACAGTCATTTCTTCTTTCAAATTGTTTTATACTTGTCCCTTACTCTTAAGTCATGCAGGTACTATTACTGTAATCCAAATCTATATTATCGCCCACTTAATTTCAGCAACAGCATCTTGGCACTTGGTCTCCATTATCTGACTCATCTCACAGATCCATCCAGCATAGAATGCCTACCATATAGGCTCTGAAAAAAACTGCCAAAATAGTCATTCTAAGTATGACTTCCATTGTGATTTTGTCTACTCAAGAACCAACATTCATTCTTGATTACCTACTACATAATATCCAGACTCTTTTGCATGATTTTCAAGCCATTATAGCCCAATTCTAAATACAGGCCTTGGTGATACAACACGTCATGCCCTCCCCTGACGGGTGCATTATCAGCCTCCTAGTCCTTTTCACATGCCATGTACGCCTCTGGAATTTTCCCATGGGTGTCCTACTTAAAGTGGTCTTCCCTCACTCCTCCATACACACCCATCCAAACTCTATAGATACTTGGAGCCCTACTATCTTCCTCTTGAAGTACACTTACAAACCTGCATTTATTGCTCTTTCAGTTCTCTAAACGTCTATATAGTCAGAACCTTGATAATGAATTATTCTTTTAGATGTGACGGTTTTATCTCTTCTATTAGACTGTAAATAAGGAAATAGTGCAGACACTTTATGACATAATAGTTTTGTACAGTTGATTTTTTTTTGATAGAAATCTGTCCTCATTATGGTGCCAGATCATATAATTGGTCATTGATTAATTGATAATTAAATGACCATTACGTTTTCTGGCATTGATGTTTCATGACTCAGTCATTGAAAGCCGAATGACTTTCTCTTTAGAAAATATTTACTTAAGAATTCTGGTGAGACTTTCAACTATTTCACCAAATAGCTAAAATAAAAAGTTTACTTGCCTAGCCATGTTACTTTTCTACTTTTAGATAAACAGTTAATACCTTTAGGGCTTTGTTGTTGTTGTTATCATTGTTTCTCTTTTTCCACTCTTATTTCTCTCAGTAATTATGTAAAAAACTAGGCAATAATGTTATCTAACATATGAACTTAGTTTTTTTCTATATAGCTAAGAAATCTTAGTTATATAAAAATACAATTCAGGGTTTTTAAAATACATTTTACCTAATGGAATGGTAGCTCTGGTAGCAATTTTTACTCTGTAATTTTACTTTTCTGATGTAAATAAGATGCCGTAACCTGTGTTCTTAAGAAATTGGTTACACAGACGTTTTTACCATGGTGACCTGAGGAATCCATAAATCAGTCTCTTTCTTAGTGGACTTGTCTGTTCTATTTAACTCAATCTGGCCATCCCAGATAGGGTTGAGCACAGAAGTCCATGCCACTTAGGTGAATTTTTCTTTGTGACTTAGAAATACTCATTTCCTTCAGTGAGCCAAAAAAATAGCAGCCAAACATTTGATTTCCACCAGAGATGCTAATGTGATGGTGAATTAAGCTAGATTCGTTAGCTTACTTTGTGCCCTACGTCGTCACTGGAATAAGAGCTGCTACTGGAACATAGGGTTTGCTTTTTAGTTTTGACAAAAGGAAAATCTTTTCATTATAGAAATACAGCCTACTCTTTTATTTCTTTATAGACATATAAAGGTAATTTAAAAATAGCAATCCGTATTTGTGTAACTTCATGTAAATAGTATTATAGGCAGAAATGCCATTATAAGGCTACTTAAAATAAGTCCTAGTTATTGTAACATAAAACATTCCTGAAATTATTTCAATTTATATTTTTGGAAAGAAAGAGTTAACAGTGGGTCTTTTCTCCTCTGTTTTGACTCTGACCAATCTCCTTATAAATATTGACTGATGGATTTGCTAGATAGAAAATAAATGAGGATTCTGTAGGGGTAGCTATGAACTCATTACTGAATTTGGAATGCTTTTAACAGGATATTTTGCTGAAGGATTTTAAATTGTAAATAATCCTGCAATCTCTGCATCTCTGGGCTGCAGCTGCATTGAGGAATCATTAGTTATACACCAGCACAGAGAGATGGGACTAGCAAACTATAAAATTTGAGAGACCCTAACACCTTCTAAACTCATCCTTCTGGAGAGCAGAATGCATCTTGGTGAAAGGAGACTTAAGAAGCTGTATCTGATGAATTTGAAATTCACGGATATTTATATGGGTTATGCTACTGCTCCTTTTTGATATCCTTTGCAAATCATTTATGGAGTTTGTATTTTATGTGAGTCTGATGAGTTGGGACTCTGTGATCATGCAATTTGTATAATGTTTTACCTTTTAAAAAATGAATCTTCGGGGCGGGCCCGGTGGCGCAGCGGTTAAGTGCACGCTCTGCTGCAGCGTCCCGGGGTTCACCGGTTCGGATACCGGGCGCGCACCAACGCACTGCTTGGCAAGCCATGCTTTGGCGGCATGCCATATAAAGTGGAGGAAGATGGGCACAGATGTTAGCCCAGGGCCAGTCTTCCTCAGCAAAAAAAGAGGAGGATTGGCAGGTGTTAGCACAGGGCTGATCTCCTAACACACACAAAAAAATTGAATCTTTTTAACAGTTCTGTGAGGCTGGTAGCACGTGTTATTAGCGACATTTTAGAAAGGCACTTATGCCATGATGAAATCTACAGCAGTAGCAACTATTTATTTAGCTCTTAGTATATATCAGTCTGCTAGGCCCTTAATTAACTCATTTATTTTGCAATTATCCACCATGCAGAGGACTATTTACTGTGAAACTCATAAAGCTTAATCTTCAGGACCCTTCACTTTCATGGACTTCATCTAAGACATTGAGAGAGCTCCTAGAAAGATGTTCACATGGTCATATGATTGGTAAAATTTGCCAAAGTAAGATTCTTTAACCATGATCAGTTAAGAACATTGTCTTTCCACTCTATCTTCTCTTTGGCCTTCTTTCTAGTGTTGGGTGGTGTGGAAGGAGCCAGCAAGGAGGAAATTCAATTAGGCGTTCAGTTATTTGGGGTTTGTGGAATATCTTTACTTATATGGCTTGCAGTTAATGTTTATGTATAATTAATGACCATAATCTTAGTATAGGAATGGCTTTCTGGAATAACTTTATTACCCAGCATGTGATGATAGTGAAAAAGGTATAAGGACAGAGTTTGTATCATGGCTTGCATGTGTTTTGCCCAGAACCTGAAATCTCCTGGTAGTGGAAGAGAAACAAGGTATAAAACATACGGAATCAGGGCCGGCCCCGTGGCTTGGTGGTTAAGTGCGTGTGCTCCGCTGCCGGCGGCCCGGGTTCGGATCCCGGGTGCGCACCGAGGCACCACTCCTCCAGCCATGCTGAGGCCGCGTCCCACATACAGCAACTAGAAGGATGTGCAGCTATGACAGACAACTATGTACTGGGGCTTTGGGGAAAAATAAATAAATAAAATCTTTAAAAAAAAAAAAATACGGAATCAGAAGCTAGTCTGTGGAAAATTCTCACAAATTTATAGTGCGTATATGAAAGAAATGTAACAGAGCTTTTCCTAAATTTAAAATAACCTAAAAATTTTATAATACTTACCAATAACAAATTGTGAAACTGAAAGGAACATCTCTAAGCTATTAATAATGAGAAACATTTTTAATCTAGCATGTTAGTGAAATTTATTCTATTGGAAATTAAAGTATAAAATTCTCATTTGAAGACACCCTGAGAGATCGCAAGGAAAAAAAAATAAACACATAGGATAAAAGTATTACAGAAGTATTTCAGAGAATTAATTAATGAAAACATTAATATTTTCCTGATACTTTTGGTATGGGATTTTCATTTAATTTTTTAAAGTAATAATTTGTTGTAATATCTCATTCTAAAAATTAACTTCTGTATTTATTTTGTATTGTAATTTTGTATGACTTTTCTTAAAGAGAGTTATGCTAAATCTTATGTGCATCAGGCCCGGGATCCACCCATGCCTGCAAGGTCAATATTATTCTCCATAGTTTACACATGAATACCTGAGACACACTTGGAGCAGAACTAAAATGCATATAATACGCTTTTTTCCATTCTACTGAGATTTCTTTTGTCCAGATTACATCAATTATAAGGGAGAGAAAAAAATCTGATGCTATGCAGAAGACTATATCCGTATATGAAAGGAATAGATAAGAATAGGCAATTTGGTTATTTATTCGTTAATTTTATTGAGTGCCAAATATGAGCCTATTTTATTTAAATGAACAAATAATGCAGATTTCTGAATGCAGGACAATATACAAAATATTATCTCTCAGTGCTACCCATACATTCACTAAAGTAAATTGTCTGATGTATAGAATGTCTCTTGATTAACAATATTAACTTATGTATAATTTAGAGACTATATTTCAAATAAAAAGATCTGGAAATATTTCTAATGTTGAAATTAGGAACATATGTCTGGGACTTTTAAAATATTTAATTATAAAAAGGTATCTCTTTGAAATTTTAAATATAACCTATCTTTATTTTGTAGGTAGACTATTACCATGTGGTGTTTTTATTTTAGACATACGGAGAATTTGAACAACTTATCTCGGAAGGATAATACTTGTATACAAAAGTGTAAAACTATTCTAATCTGGATGGTCAAGAAACAGAATCGAAAGCCTTTCTGCAATAGACGGTAATTTGGAACCTATTTAAGAAAGAGAATGACCAATCCAGGTAGACAAGACTTGAGTTTATTTATACGATTCATATTTCCCTTCTTTAAAGGACATTTACAAACTTGATTTCAAAAATAAAAGAACTTCTGAATGACAAATGTTCATGTTTTAATTTCAATATTACAGGTATACTCTTTCATGATAAATTATCAGTTGAAAATGTTCCAGTGGAGTCTGGTAACAATTAATTTAACACTTCATATAAGGAATAATAAAACATTTATTTCAAGTCTTACATATATTACTTAAAATAGATACAAAGTTCAGTTTGTAATTTTTAAATTTTACTGCTATTTCAAGCTACCTGAAAGAAAATACCTTAGTGGAAAAAAATGTTTTGATTGTTTTTAATAAGTACGAGTTTTAAAACAAGCACTGTTATTAACAGTCCACCCATATGTTATTTAGCAATTAGGTAGGTCAAATAATGTATGATATTATCTTAAAGAAAAGAAATAATATTTGTTGGGCAGATGCAGGTAAAATAATATTTGAGAGTATTATAATATGCAACATAGAATCAAATTCAAGAAGTTGATTGATTAAAAAATCTAACAATGCACAAATCCATAAATAATTGCTTAGTTTCATCTGTTAATATTAACCTGCATGACTGAAGCACATGGAAAACAATGAGATGAGACAAGGCAATAAAAAAGTTGTACATCTGATTGTTTGCTTAATGGAGGCATCACTTTGTGAAAATTCTCATACACATTTTCCTGTCCAAAAATAGAAACTTGCTTGTTTTCCATATATACAAGTATCCTGTGAAATCCTGGACTCTAGAAAGAAAAAGGTTGAGGTATAGCATTGAATAAAGCATCAAAATGCATGATATTTCTGGCTGAAATTCAGCAAAGTTACTGTCAGTAGAGAAGAGTTGATCGGAGTGTGCTTCCGAAAGTCTTCCAGGTTTTTGCCCTCTGAGAAATTTGTTGGCGACATCAAATAATTGAACTCGTCAACATCAATATATACAAAGGGATTTTATTATTAATCAAAGAAAGAAAATTAGAGTCTTGAGAAATTGCAACTTTATTTTTTCATCATACATATATTTATTGCCATCATAGTTCTGCAATTGTCATGAAATTAGAGTCAGATGGAATTCTGAGACACGTGCAAGTTTTGGAAATGGACACATAGATAACAGTATAGAGCTGTACACAAAATAATTACAATTTATTAAACACACTATTTTAGCACATCTTTGATGGATGGGAATGAGCACCATATCTTTTATGAATATATATTTTTCTCTTTTTTTTTCTACAGCACCAAAGAAATCCAAATAGGAAAAAGAGAGATGAAAATTGGGAATAAAAAATAAGGCCTGTTTCCATCTCAGCCACACTATCTTATATTTTTATGATTTTCAAACCTTTTGTCATGTGATTCTGTCCCCACAAGGGCATAAGTATTTCCTAATTGGTACATATGTACTGGCCAGTTGTTTTCTATATTATCCTTATTCAAAACTTGCATGTGGCATAAAATGGGTTGGTGGCACCAAGGTATATTTTCTGTTGATTTCATATGTTCTTTGTCCTAATCTTAGCCAAGAAAACAAACAGGGCCAACTTCAAATCCAAACTTCTGATTCTGATCACCAAAGTCATTGATCATTACGTCAACAATAGGTACTTGATCAATTTTCGGTGTGTTGATTTCAATGACAGTCTTTTCATAGCCTTTTCTGGACTGTAAAGTTGAGCAGAAATAAAAAGTTATACAATCATTTCATATTTTTAACATATATGCTATTTTTTTCTTAAGCCTTTGAATGGATGTAAAAAGGTAAGAAAGAAGAGAGTAGAAAAACAAATTTTCTATTATCTATGTAATAATAAACTCTTCTTGATATCACTGATGTCATATGTAGTTTTAAATTTTGAATGTTACAATTACATTTAATATTTAGCTGTAATTACTCAACTGTAATACTGTAATATATTGCAGAGTTGAAGCAAATCTTATCGACTTGATAAATACAGTTTAATATGAAAATTGATGTTGATATTGGGTCATACCATATATAAATAATATACTTACCATTATAAATGTAATTAAGATATACAGTGTAAGGAACACTTGTTCCTTTAATTTGCTCTATTTTCTCTTCTCTGATCTACGTCTGCACTATCATTTTGTTGAAGGCATGGGCCTATTTATTTGTAATTGTGACTTCTCTTCAGTCATCAACACTCAGCTAAAACAATGAGCTTTTTTAGGGTGCTCTATGGACCATTTTCTTATATGGAATTCCCATATGTGTGAAAAAGATAGTTCCAGAGGATAAAAGTAACAAAAATAATAATAGTTTCCTAAACTGGTGTTACACAGTATGAATCAACAAGCTCCCCATAAACAAAATACAGGGGTAAGAATTATCTGTGGCATAAATGGCATAATGGTGATTCCTTTATCTCTCATTTTAGAATCACGGATTAAGGAGGCAAATGAAATAAGATTTTTTATTTTTTTGTCATTTCAAGAATAACTAGCTATAATAGTATTCAAATAATAAGAATAATTCCATAAAAATAACATAGGATCTAAGATTACCTTCTGTTATGGCTTTAAAAATGTGCCTACATGTATGTTTCAGAGCTTCTGTTTGTATATGTGCATATACACACAATGTGTGTATACATTAACGTGTGAACATTAATGGTTTCTAATATACATTTTAATATGTCAATGTTAAGCATCAAATCTTAATAACCCCTGACATCCATTTCATGAGAGAGATCTGACTTAGGACCAAACTGAGATGGTTACATACTGCCTCTTCCTCTGTGAGAGAAGGCAAGCAGAGATCGTACTTACCGCACAGCCATCATACAGTGCTTTGATGTAAGGGTTATTGTCATAGGACATCTCCTCATCATTCGATCCCAGGAACCGAAGAGCTTTGTCATAACTTCCTGATGACACATCATACCAGGCTACTGACTGATGACAGTTGTAGGTGAAATTTTGCCGAGCAGAGGCAGTCAGCAGCTTCAGGAATGTCATTTGCACCATATTAATGGAATTGCCTTCAATATCTAAATAGGAAAGCTGGGAATAAAAAGACACATAAAGACTCTTTCATGTTATAAAAAAATAAAATTATTATGGAGAGTGAACTGTAATCCACAAGCATGCAGATTGCTCAACAGACTCATTTTAACTTACTGAAAGAAAGTGTGCATTGAGGGTCAGAAGACCTAGAGACAGGATTTTATGAAATCAAGATTGTATTCCCACCTGGGTTACTGTAAGCAGTACTCATCTTTGAAAAAAATCACTTTATTTCCATGTTTCAGTTTCCTAATCAGCAAAAATTGTAAAAAAGAAAATGCTTTTTTTTCCAAGAAATTTTCGTTATACTTGTTTATCTTTTTAAATGATAGAGTGGTAAAATAGTGAAACAATGAAATCTCAAGAATTTCAGTGCAATGCAATGGTTAACTATTTCTATATTGTTTGATTTTTGCCTACTCCTTTAAAAAATTTCATAGTATATCTACCTAACCCAAATCTTTAAACATATTCCTGCATTTCTCATTTTGGGGCCGTAGTCTTCTAGGGCATTTTTGGTCTTCTAATTTTCAGTAGGGACCTGCCTGTTTGTCTATTCTTTTTTTTTTTTTTTAAAGATTTTATTTTTTCCCCCAAAGCCCCAGTAGATAGTTGTATGTCATAGCTGCACATCCTTCTAGTTGCTGTATGTGGGACACGGCCTCAGCACAGCCGGAGAAGCAGTGCGTCAGTGCACACCCGGGTTGCGAACCCTGGCCACCAGCAGCAGAGCGCATGCACTTAACCACTAAGCCACGGGGCCGGCCCTGTTTGTCTATTCTTAAATGACGTACTTATTCATCATTGTATCATCATCACCGAGCACAACGCCCAAGACAATGCAAGTGAGTATCTGTTGAGTTGATAAATACCTATTTTGTATTTCGAGCAAAAGAAAACAGCCTTAATTGCAAATTATTAAAAACTGTCTCTTTTATCAAATTCATAAATTGTTTTATTGGGTATAATTGAAATATCAGGGATCAGCTGAAAGATATAAACCTAGATTTTTAAAAAAATAAGTAAGAAATTCACCAAGATTATAGATTGTCAATATAAAGGCAGTTATCTATGACTTTCTTCCTTATTGTTGATTTTACTTAATCCTTGCTGATTAATGGCTCAGATGATGAGGATCCTTGTAAGGCTGGAGGAAAAAAACTATTTGGAAAATGCATTCTAAGGAAAACAAAACAAAAAAAAAACTGTACACAGTTGTATCTGTGTATGTATTTTTAACTCATATGAGGATAGGAATGTAACATGGATATTTAACATGTAACTTGAAGACTGAACGAGAGAATTACGTCCAGTAGAAAACATCACCGAAAGTTGTTAATTAATATGTCTAGGTTTTTATAGGATAATGACTGTATAAATAGTCACCAATGGAAAATAATAGCTTTTTTAAAAACATTAAGTTGAAAAATTATCTGGATAGGTGAGAAACTTTAATTTGAATACATTCTAATTAATATTTTAAACATATATTTTTTAAACAGTTTTAAATACAAATTTAGTTTTGGCATCTAATCTTAAAATATCTCTAGAAAATTATTAACAGTGAACTGGTAATTGTACAGAAATATCTAAGTAAACTTGTACTATAACACAAATAAAAAGTCAGGCCAGTCAGTTCACTTTTTCCAAATGCAGCAATCAGAAAACATTTCACATTCCAAAAGTTTTCATTGAAATGGAGAACAAAGAATAAATTGGGTTTCAAGCGAAAAGAAAATGAAATAATTGGAGTCAGAGATACCAAATAGATATTATGTGTTCTATCCCTGATATTTCTAACATAAGCCATTTCATGATGTCCATCTCAGGTATTTAATAAAATGCATACTTTATTTGATCATATTATTTTAGTAAATTTAGTATATTTCCACTTATTTTGATACTTGAAAAATTTTAGACTTCTCTAAAATACCACAGTGGACTAAAAGATATAGATGGAGCAAACAAGAGAACACATGGAATTCTGCTTAGTATAATTTAGACTTTCACAGTCAAGGTATAGAGATACATAATTTGAGCTTCATTTATGAAGCTCAAAGATAAAGCATTTCATGCTGAGGTAAGAACATACCAGTTTTCCTCTCTTAAATTCACTAAACCAGCTTCCTGGTTTCTCCTTTGGCCATGATGAAATTCTCACCTGATGCAAAGGAACATGAAATTAGAAAGTACGTAAAAATCATGAGCAGTATTGTTTATGTATATATCAGTAATTTTCAGCAAGACTAAGATGCTAAAGAGCTTTTAAAATGGTCTCCCCTGGATTTCACAAAATGAGATAAAGAGCAAAATTTGAGAGCGATCCTGTGAATTCCCTTTTAGTGAAGACTGAGTCATTTTCTTCCTTTTTTTGTTTAATTGCTCAAAAAGAAGAAGGGGGGAAATAACCCTGTAAAGGCAAAAAGGACTGTAGTGGACATTGGTGTAACTCTTTGGTAACCCCTTGCAAAGGAAACGCTCGAAATGCTTATTGACATCAGCCATCAAGGCAGGTTCCAACAGTATTCTGTAGCCAAGGGAGCCGCCCGGACAGTATCCAGCCAGTAACTAAGGGCGGGATGCTATGGAAAAGTCATTGGCAAAAAGCAAGCTTAATCATTCCCTGCTGAGAAGAATGTTTAGAATCTTTTATAGATGTGCATTTATTGTTTTGCTTTGCAAAGATCAGCAAAATATAAGGGTATGTAAGGCCTCACTATAGGGAATTCCAGTAATCAGTGTAAGAGGAGGCATTTTCCATTTTCCCACATTTCTTTGGGGGCTAGAGGAGCTTTATTATGCTTTGCTACCTGCTAAGGGTGGTTCGGAAACAGAAGTTGCTTTGTTTCCTACTCCTTCTGCCCATCTTTTGCTTACAAACTTAACTTCTCTCCTAAAGAGAGTAGCCACACATGAAGCTACTTGTTTTGCCTTAAGGAGTTTCTGTGCCCCTGTATGCCCACACCATGTGGGGCAAGAAGAATGTGATTTATTAAAAGAATACAAATAAAAGCAAAATTTCCCACCTATAAAATGTTTGGAGAATATAATTATGCTAGTGAAAAATCTTTCCTTATATTAATAATTTGCCTTTAGCTTTAAAGATAGAACTCGAATATATTGATACTGCTAGGTGAAAATCAAGAAATGTGTTTGAAGAGACTAAACATTTAAAAAGTACACAAGTCTGGAGAATATTCTTATTTCATGTAAAAGATAAATTCTTTATAAAGTTGTGTATTTTGAGCATAATACACAGCTGTGAGTTCTCCCATGTGGTAATTAGAATGAAGAACACTATACGTGCACTAAAAACTGAGAATCAGCTGTGCTGTGTCATGGAAAGCCATAGAATTTTAGAGAGCAAGCAGGTGCATAAAGAATACATCTGGGTAAAAAATAAAGGAGAAAAGTATTTGTTAACTCCGTGCATCACTTTGGTGCTTTATTCATGTTTATGCAAATGAAATGCTCTAATTACCCTGTAAGAAAAGCAGATAAATGAAAGTATGACAGTATAATTTTTCTGTTTAGTTCAATATTGCAAAAACATGGCAGGAACTGTCAACAGTCACCACCAAAACAGATTGGTACTTACTCCCTCAGATTTTTTGTCTGGATAAATGCAAGTCTCACCACCAGACGTGAAATTACAGTAAACTTTGAAAGAATCTCCTGAGCAACCTTGGTTAGGATCAATCCAATATTCACCTAGAAGGAGGAAAAAAAAATATCATTTTTAAATGCATTTATATCAAAAATCAAATGCATTATATATGAAATTTTATTAGAAAGAGAAATAACTAAAAATGAATATTCATAGATCTTTTCCTACGTGAATTCCTTTTATGCTTTTGGTCATATTGGGGTATACGTTTGAATAGTTAAAGAGCGATCCTTTGTTTTGTCTGCCTCAAAGCTTTGCAAATGCCCCTATACACTAGGCTTGGAACACCCTCTTTAATTCTTAGCATGCCTATTACTTTTAGGTTTCAGCTTAAATGTCACCTCCTCAAATATTAACATTCTATTTATGTGTAATAATTTGCTTGCACATTGGAATCAGATATACTTGACCCTAAATCCCATATGTATTATTTACTACTTAAATAATCTGAGTATAATAATCAATATATTTTTCTTGCTTTATTCATCTGTAACAATGGAGGTGATAGTATCTACTTAGCCTCAAGGATCATACTTTTGCATTACTTTATAGCGAAAACTTCTTCTTGTAGTAAATGTACTCTCCCTTTGAATGGGATCCTGAGAAGAAGGTCTATTTCATATATTTAAATGTAGTTTGCTATTGATGCCATTATCTAAATGGTGCAGAAAAAAATTTATCATGTGAATGATCATGAGCATTAATTTGGTGCTGGGTAAGTAAAGATGGTAAGTAGTGGGAGTAACATAAATATATTGTTTACATAATTGACAATATGGTTTTCGTTAACGAGAGTTATTGGGAGTCAGAATTGATACACATGTGATGATTACCGTGCTTCTCTCCTACCATTTTTCATGCTGCCACTTCATTTCAAATATTAATTTGAATTATATCAATCCACTGGTTATGAACTTTTAACATTGTAAAAGCTCCAACTGCTTAGCTTAGAACTGGAACTCTTGAGAATCCAATGCCAGTTTGCTTTATCTTTTACTACTACTGTATATAAACAGGGAAAGTACTCTACTAGTCAATAAGCTTCTAATATATGTCAGTAACTTTAAATATATCATTTAACAAAAACATTTATACTTTTTCTGATTATACCATTAATAAATTCACATCTGGAACAAACTGAAATTCTCTGGAAAAAATATACAAGAAAATAAAAATCATCCAAAGATTTTACCAACCAGAATAATCACTCTTAATCTTTGATATTTCTTAGGGTTTTTAGGAATATATAATTTTGAATTCTATGGTAAACACTATTTTTATCTTGTTTTATTCGGTTAACATTGTCATTAAACATTCTTTCAAATAACATGTTAATAGCTTAATTACTAAGATACCTTTGTTCAATAGATTCAGTATAGTATGGATACTATGTTCAATTTGTTTCTAATTTATTCATCTCCTATTTCTATGTCACATTCCTAAATCAGGAGACCATAATCTCTCGCCTAGAATAATCCAACAGCTTCTTAACCAGCCTCCTTTGATTCCATCTTGCTTCCTTCCACATCACTTCAAGTCATTTTCCTTTTTCCTTTGCTCACTATTGTTCAGCCATAGAGACTTACTTTCAGTTCCTTGAAGACACCAAGATCCTGTCTTCTTCAAAGCTTGGCAAATGTCCCATACCCTCTGCCTGGAATACCGTTTTGATTCTCTGCATGACTGGCTATTTCTTTAAACTTCAGCTTTATCTTTATCTCTTCAGCTTAAATGTTACCTTCTCAACATCCTATTTATCCAAAATGGAATTATCCCTTAATTATCTAAATACTCAGTTGTTTTCATAGTATCTGTCATAATATGCTATTATTAATACGTATGGTTTTTCTGTCTCCATCATTAGGTAATAATAGCCTGAAGGCATTATTCCTTCTGTTTATCTGTGAATCTCTGTATGAAGAACAGTGCCTGGCACTGCTAAATAAATAAATAGTTGTGATTAATTAACACACTAAAGAATTAATAAAGCTAGTTATTATACGGAAAACACAGGGAATCATAGTCCACAGTGAGTTTTCCATTCCCAAAATTTACAAAACGTTTTCTTGACTGCTCAGGTTCTAATTAATCCTATGTTGTTTTGTAACTCAGTACATGTCATCTTTTACATTTGATTTTCAATTATGTTTGATTATCTTAGCTAGATCAGAAGTGTGAGCCATTCTCTTTATAAATCTCTGAATTAATATCGAACTAAACATATCTTTTTTAAATGAACACATTATAAATTTGAAGACCTTGGATACCAGTTTGTATAGGACCCTTAATAACTACCTCTGTTTCAGTTTTAACAGGCGGGGCTTGATTAAGATAGGAGGATTTTATGACATTTACGGTGGTGGCTGTTTCTGAATTGCATTAAACTTTTCTATCTGTACTGAGTTATTTAGATCTCAGTTATAACATTCATTAGATGATTTACAGTGCAAAACAATATTGCTTGGGGCTGGCCCCATGGCATAGTGGTTAAGTTCAGCTTGCTCTGCCTGTGTTCGCGGGTTTGGATCCCAGGTGCAGACCTACGCTACTTGTCAGCCCTGCTACGGTGGCGACCCACATACAAAATAGAGGAAGACTGGCACAGATGTTAGCTCAGGGCTAATCTTCCTCAGCATAAAAATAATAATAATAATATTGCCTGAGAGTAAAAAGAGTGGCAAAGTATTTCCACATAAAGAAGGAGACTTAAAACAAGATAAATATCTGCCCCTTGTTAATTTAGTAATTGTGTGAGTTTAGTCAACTAACTTAGGATACTTGAAAGTCAGGTTCCCTTCTCAGAAGGGTAAGTAAAAGTTTTGTCAAATAGTAGATATAAAAAATTATCCTGATTATTATTACAAATAAATTGTTCACAGTTGTTCTGGTTATTTGTGGATCAATGAAGTAAATTTTTGCCCCAAGCCATCCTAATTCTTAAATATTCTGTTCATGAAATCATTGCTAAACTGATAGGTCAGATATGATTTAGCTATGCTATTTAATCGTGTTAATTTTACTTATACTAATGTAAAGTAAGTTAAGATATAGGATACAAATAATTATATAGTAATATGCACATGTGTGTACACACATAAAACCCGTTCTATGACAGTTAGTACAAGGCAAAGTGCATTTGTGTTATCTATAATCATCCAAAAATGATCTTATCATAATTTAATGAAATCTTATTTAAAAGACAAAGATTTTCCAAAGCAGCTCTTGAATTAAGCACTATAAATGACTTTTTCTGTCTATAAGATTGGAATTAATAATCATTTGCTTTAGTGTTATTTAGAGACTATACTAAACATTTAACTAGAATTAATGAGCTGACAAGGCACCTCAGTAACTTAGAGGCTCAGTACATTCGCTGTGTCCTGTGTTATTAACTAACATACCATCTGGGAAATCAGGATGGCTGAGCTGCAGGTCTTTGCAAGTTCGGGCTGGGTTGGTCTGAGTACCCATTGGAAATTTCATATGCTCGATGTCTTGTTTCAAGGAATTGAGGGAACCAAATATTTCCTCCATTCCATCCGAGTAATCAAGAATATTATCGCCTGCATCTGCTTGCAGGCTTTCAGCGTGTCTTCTGGTTTTTTTGGGTGACAGGATTGGTAAAGGCTGAATGACTTCACCAGGCGGACCCTGTAAAAGAGATGATGTGCATGTAAGTGTTTCCTAAGGTAAAATATACTGCAGATATTAGTTATTACTGGTTATGTCATTGTTATAAGAAATTATAGTTGGCTTAGCTTTTCAATGTTTTCCCTATTTTCAATGTTTTCTCTAATTGCTACTATATATATGTATATATACATATATATATCCTTGTATATATACTTTGTAAGTTCTTTAAAAAAGAACCTAGTGGAGATGCTGAGGTAGGCACACAATTGGATGATTTCTGGATCTTTTTCTAGACAAGTAATGTAGCAAAGATTTGTGTAGACATACGTTTTATATGTTTTTTTCTTATTTATTAATTAGTTCTCATTTATACCGTCTATCTCTACAGCTAGATTTTAGTTTCTGAAGATTAAAACACCATTTTAAGGTTCTTGTGCTATCTAATGAGTTCTCTATTGTGCTTGATAATGATTTATATAATGATACAATAAACTTTTAAAAATACATATTAGCTTGTTTCAAATATTTATAACTTAAATCTTTATAAATTAACAAACTTAAAAGAAATGCAACCAGACTTGAATCTACATATGTGTAAGAGGAGAATCTACATATGTGTGAGAGGAGAACTATACCATATAGTTAACCCATATTCTTATGGGTTGAAAGTGTTCCACAAAAACTCATATGTAGAAATCCTAAGTCCCAGTTCCTCAGAATAAGATTGGAAATGGAGTCACTGTGGATATAGTTAGTTAATAAATATGAGTGCATTAGGGTAAGTCCTATTCCAAAAGGACTGGTAACTTTATAATAAGGGAAAATTTGAGCACAGAGACAAGCATGGACAGAAGATGATGTGAAGAGACAGAAGGAGAAGACAGCATTCCACAAGCCAAGGAGAGAGGTCTGAACACATCTTTCCCCGACAGCACTCAGAAGGACCAACGCTGCTGACACTTTGATCTAGGACTTCCGGTCTCTAGAATTGTTAGACAATACATTTCTGTTATTTAAGCCACTTAGTTTGTGGTACTTTGTTATGGTAGCAAACTAATACACATATAGTTTGGAAACAAGCTTGACAAAGGAGACTAAATTTTTTTCATGTGGATCCATCACTTAACAGTTGTGTGAAGCCTGGAAAATGTCAGCATTAATAAATGGTAGCTATTATTATCGCTTTTATTATTATCATCATATGCAGTAGGAAAAAAATGCCAAGCACCTGAACTTTTGTCTTTATTCCTAGTGTCAAGTATAAATGTATCTTTGTGGTATACAATCAGTCTCTTTCGTGAAAATGTGACATAAAAAAAAAACCGATTTTCTTGAAAAGCTAATAAAAACAGGATTATAATATATAGTTAAGGTATCTTTACATTCAAAGAGCAAAACCAATTAAAAGACAAGTCTTGGCGTGTAGAGCTGATTACTTAATTAATGTAATCGCTATTTCCTAGGAAATCAGCACTTTGAGAGAATGTGCTTTTTCGTCTTTCTTATAAATTCAGGGAAGTTATTGGCAGTCTCAGGATGCTAACTGCCAGAACATCACTCTTGTTACTTACTGGAGGCCCAGGAGGCCCTGGAAGGCCACTGTCACCCTTCTGACCCGCAGGGCCCTGTTAGAAAGAAAAGAAGAAGATAAACAGAGCATAAGGCACTTGAGTAGGCTTCACTGAAAAATTAAAACGCCAAAGGGAAAGATACTTACGGTAGAGCCTTTGGTGCCCTTTGGACCTTGAGGACCCTAGAAAATGCAAAGGCAAAAGTGCAGATAAAAATCTGGAGAATTTGTGTCTCTTTGGTATATTTAAAAGTTTACTTTATAAAATTCTATTGTCTTGTACTTACTGGTAAGCCTGGAGGACCAGGTGGACCTATGGGACCAGCAGGACCTGGAATTCCCTATAGAGAGAATCATCCAAATTAAAAAGCTTTTCTCAGCTATTCCATTCTCATGTTTTGCATAACAATACACATGGAAAATTTAGAGAATGCAAAGATACACAAGAATAGCCTAAAATTTTCCATTGTGAATTTAAGAAATAACTTGCAAGATAATCTTTATTGTTTTTTTTTCTTATGTTGCTGTAATGTCTATATATTTTTTTATATTCCTACAGCCTTCAGAATAAAGATTTGTATGTGTGGGGGACTCAATAAATGTTTGTGTAATTAACTATTAAGCTGTAATTTTTATGATTTCTAACATAAGTCATATTTTTAATTTAATTACTCTAAGGTTAAATAAATTTCTTTTTGAAAACACCATTGACTTAAGGAGATTAGAATAAAGACGCTCTAAATCACTTCCTTGGTCATATTTAAAGGAATGTGTGCAGTTGTGTGTGTGTGTTTATGATTGGAAAGAAGTAGGAAAATAATTGATATCTTTACTCACTCCATCTCCCTTTGCTCCTGGAGATCCCTGAGTGCCAGGGAGGCCTCTGTCACCCTTTTCACCTTGTTCTCCCGGAGGACCAATCAGGCCAATTAAACCAGGATGTCCCTTTGGAAGGCAGAGAAAAGAAATTTTAACAATGTATAAATTACAACCATATATTAAATTATAGTCATAAAATAATTGCACATTAAATTTATGAAACATAAAAGTAAAAAAATGTAGATAAAAAACTTCAACCCTTTCTAAATGGAATACAGGATCATTTACTGCTTACGTTAAGTGAGACCCTTATTAAGGATTGGGAGTATTATAGAATAAAATGCATTCTAAAAATATTATCTTTAGTGTTTCATTTACTTAAAGGGAATTCCCTCAACTAAAAGACCAATAATGACCATATGTAATATTGGTGAAATAAACAACTGAAAATTCATTATTTTAATAAGCATCTTATTTTATATGAAATGATTTCTATTCTTCAGAGAGACTCTGCAGTCTTTAAGAGACATTTGGAGACTTAAAAATAATCCAAAATATATGAATGCCATTCTAAAAAGGCTTATTTTTAAAAATTATTTGGTGTAACTCAGCTTACATTCTGGGAGATCAAATTACCATTTGAAAGATATTGTAGTTTAAATTTTTTTTTTCACGTTTAAAAACGGGCATTTTTTTATCCCGTCTGTTTATTTTCTGATTGGTTATTTGAGTATAACCAAATGCTTACTCCATATGGTTCTTACAAGTGGACATTGAGAAAATATAAAACTGAATTCTGGTAACATTTTCCACTATTACTTTGTCTATTTTCTTTTCTCTAAACTGATCTGTCAAGCTAAGGATTGACAGCTTTTTCCTTGGTTAGAATGATACAGATATTTGAAATTTCCTTTTGAGTGATTTTAATCTACAAAATGATTGTCTCTATTAGGATATCAAAATTGTAATAACACATTCTTTTATTCTCACCTTCTCACCCTTGGAACCGGGGTCACCTTTGAGCCCAGGTAAGCCAGGAGGTCCCTAAATAATGAGAAATAATAAACATACATAGAGTAGGTATGAATTAGAGAATCATGTTACTAGCCACAGGGCAAGTTTGGTTTCGATAATGTGATAGAGTTCAAACATAATTAATAATGATCGGTGTTTATTTTTCAGGATTCAAAATAATATTTTGTGTTTAAAACTCCATAGCTTAATATTTAACCATAATACTAAAACATAATATTGATAATTTTGATTAAATGAATATGAAGTTAGAAATAGGAAATGGTTTAATTCCATTGAGAAGAAAGGATACATTTTTAATTACACTAATTTTAGAAGAAGGTGTTTCCAAATTATATATCCATTCAACCAAATATTTCAGTGCCAAACTCAAATTCAAAGGTTACAATATTTCCAGGAAAATTTTTTTAAAAACTTCATAAACTTTTGACAGTCAATTGACCTTTGATAAGCACTTTTCTTAAGTAAACTCCCAAGAGAGTATTTTTAGCTGAAATTCCTGAATTGAATCTCTTATCTAAATGATTTACAAATTTAATAACAAGTAATTTACTTTTTTCATATAATCGTATCTTTATTTTAATAATTTAACTTTTTTTATAGTCCAAGGATAAGGCATTTATCCATTTATGCTAAACTATATTTTTATGAAAATCACAGCATGACTTTAGCAACTAACTGTTAGTCCTGACCCCTACCCGTGGAAATATTCATATTGATGACTTTTCAACAAATTTTTTATATAAGAATAAGTGTACTTAAAATTGAAGGCAACACAAAATAAGATCCTTGTTCTGAAATTACAACAGGTGAAACTATGCAGGCAACAGATTCTGTCAGAAGAAGTGTAACTGACACTAACAGATGGTTTGTAAGTATATGATTGATGAAATCGGGGACTAGATAATGCTGGGGAATGTAGGTCACTACTGCCTGCAACAAGGAAGTCATCAAGAAACAAAGGCAAAATATTCATATGGTTTCTCTAAGAGTTTGAATTATTTAGGTTGAATTGGATTATTTTAATTATAATTTCAATAATGATTTTTAACATGGTACTTAGAAAGCAAATTATTTTAACTTTTACCAAGCTATAGCATGAGTCTTCACTATTGTATCTTCTACAAGGCTGCCATGAGTAATTTTTTTCCCCTCTACCTAGACACTCTGAGTCTTCGGTATGAAAGAGCGCATTAAGTCCCAGTCCACCATTTTTGTGAATTTAAAGTATTAAGAGCCATGGGTCTGATCCAAGCACCATTAAGTAATATGAAAAGTATGGGTTCAGAATAGGAGAGACTTGGGATAGAAGCCAGCCTCTCTTGTTAGCAATTTAAATTAGCTAACCAAAGAGAACTTTAGTTTTCTCATCTGTAAATTGAGGCTTATAATTCCTATCTCACGGGGCTACTGTGAGATTGAGTAGAAGGGCTCTTTCCATTCCTTATTCTCAAGTATATGCCTCAAACTGAAATCCAAAACATCAGAGGAAAGAAAGAACAGTGTTAGTCTAAATTGGTCCTGTGTAACAATATCTATTATTAGATATATTTGTTTTAATTCATGAATGAATTTGAAATTCTGTAAGTATTGATATAAAAAAGTGGACAATTTCCCTACATCATTCTATTAATGATAGATTAGATAGATTTTCATAGAAAGTATGTGCAATTTTAAATGTGAATGCACCTAATAATATTCTTCTAATGAGGAGAAAAATATTAATGCTCAGACGTAAATTTGTATTAATTCAGTTTAGATTCTGGTTTGTGTAAAAATAAACAATCATGCCACCTTGTTAAATCTTTGACAGACAAAAAGGAGCCTACAAAGAAATTACCAAATTCACTTTCAAGTATATTCTAAGGCTGGGTTTTAACACTGGACTTTCATTTAGTTTACCACACCCTCATAGTGGATCTCAAAGTGTGGTCCTCAGACCAGCAGCACTAACATCACCTGTGAACCAATTAGAAAAGCAAATTCTTAGGCCTCATTCAGACCAACTGAATCTGAAATTCTGGAGTTAGATACCAGCAATCTGTTTCATAGGTTTGATATACATTAAGGTTTAAGAATCACGGCTCTATGGCATTAGGTCCCAAATCCAGTTAAATCAATGTGCAAATCAGAACAGCACAAAGGATCTCATTTATGTTAAAATAAAAACATTACCTATTTAGTCCTACTAGCTTAATAATTTAAAAATTAAGGGAACATATTTTGCATCTACTTTTTTCTGATCTCATCAGAAATGCCTGGTGAATTATCAGTTAGGAAATAATGTTGCCAAATAGCATATTTTTAAAGGAATAATATAAATGAGTAATGGAAACAATATTTTCTTGAGGTCATGTCAGGATAGATGCCAAAGACTATATATTAGAACAAGGTAATGTAATAAAGCATGAAAAAAGAATCTAACAAAAATGTAATTGTATCAAAGAATCATATACTTGTACCAGTAGCAGAAACCATTTAAGAATATTGGTTAAAATTGATATGTCAGTTAAAAGTAAACACATTCTTTAGATTGAAAATACGAAACTAAAGATTAGGCCAGACTTTTTTCTTTCTTCACTTCTCATTTTACATTCAAACTCTTTCAGGCATGTGATACACTTTACAGAAATTTTGCTGTAAATGAGATAACTGATAGGGTGTTGCTTGCTGGGCATCAATATTCCAATCATACATCATTCAGAGGCTCAAGTCTACCACTCATTAGTTGGATGATCTTGGATCTATCACTTATTATCTCTGAGCTTTATTTATAAAAGCATTCTAATAATAACTGTGTCATGGTATTGTGAAAATGAAAGAAAAACCAGGCCTACAAAAGCACTGCATAAACAGAGAAGTATAATATAAATGTTAATTATTATCATTCTTTTTTGATATGCTACAGATGGTTGTCAATCAGCTTTCTCATAACATTCTAATAGTACTAACTAAAATGGAAAAAAAGGAAGAAATACTAGGAATTCCAATTGCTCAGGCTTAATGAGAAGCATACTAGACATTATTTGTGTTTATAATGCATTTTAAATTGTTTCTATAAATATTATTCATGAAGGAGTTAGAGGAAATGAGTATTAATTCCTCTAAGCTAATAATCTCCTATGAAATTATAACTGTATCTAAGCAGGAATTTGCCAAGCAAAATCAGTCTCTTATCATTTTAATAAGTTGGCAACAGCAATTGGTAAAGTTATGATACTGATAGCAGTTATAAATAACCCTCTGAACCTGGAACATATCAAAAATATCAACTCTGCATACAAAAATGTTATTCCAAGTATACATATTTTCTATTTCCTCTTTAAAATATTGTAAATTGAAAAACTCTAGGGAAATACATAATTTATAAGTAATAAAGTGAACAGGAAACCAGGAATGATACATTCTTAAGTGTTTAGAATACACATTTTCCCCTGCAGTAGTATGCTTTACAGAATATTTGCTTTGTATTATCTCAAAACTCTAATGCATTGAAGTTTAAAGAAACTGCAGATTCTACACTTTATTTAGAATGTAATATTCTGAAATAATGCTTAATTTGGTGGAAAGAAAATGCTTTGTTGTTTAAACCTGCTTAATCATTATGGATTGCTACACATCTCAATCTTGTTTACAGATAGTATAAATATCACATTAAAAAAATCAAACTGCAATTCAGTAACCCATCCAACCATTTATTTAGGCATTTATGCTTCAAAAAATAATACTATTAGGTATTTTATTTTATCAGTATGTGAAAAGAAGGAAGATATGATAATACTAAGGTAAACTTGTCCAAAGATAAATACTGAACGATTTTCCAGCTACTCTGGAACAAATAGGTTTTTAAATGAAAGAATATGAAACAAAACAAAATAAAAGCCTAAAACTAAAACATATGGTCATCCTGCCTTTGAAAAATAAAATAAAAATTAGTTTAAAATTATTAAATCATGTTAATTTTGACCATGTAGCACAGGAGAGAATGTAGCCACCATTACTGTTCTCTTTAAAATACTCAATTTTATTCTCATTTAATTTTTGTTGACTATTTACTCAAAAAATCAGCATTTCAACTTAAAAAAATTCTAATAAAATTCTTTATATAATCTCATCATTGTCTTTAGCTTTCTTTTAGCTTTCAAATGTATTATCTATCCTTAGTTCCATAGGGTGATTCTGAATATACAGAAGTATATAAAATTCATGTATATATAGAAGTTTAAACTAATTTTTACCATGAGAAGTATCTAATTTTTAAAGTAAAAAACTATATGTCTATACTCTATTAGAGCTGATTACCTAGAGTGGGCAGACACCAAACAAGTATCATTTTAAGAGTTTTGAAAGATCTCTTTGGTTCACTCTGCCCCCAAGAATTTCCACTTCAAAGGTTGATATAAAATAGTTAAACTGTTGCCTATATAGGAAATGGATGGTCTGTTAGAGTTCAACTGTCTAATTAGGTAGCTGCCAATCTGGAATGATGCAAGCAGAGTAAGTTGTACTTGTTGAACAGCTAAGTTGTATTTAAAAGTTGGGGAAAAGGCAATATCGTAGCAGTTTTGTCTGACTAGTGGAATGATACAGTAGGAGGTTGCAGGCAGCTTCTGGAAAGGGAAAAGAGACCCAATAGGTAGTTGCAGAACTCTAGTGATAAACAAACTTCTGAAGCATGTGTAGACTTGGATGTGAGTGTGAATATATTTATAATTATAACGAGCAAAAGCACATTATGGAGAAAATATTCCGATGATTTTCACATAGATTAATTTCAGAGATTAATGCAAACTTGTATGAGTTTTGAAACTTCTATTATTCTCATCTCTCACATTTTATCCACACTTAAGCCTCTCTTTTCCTTCTTTAATAATCATACTTCTTATCAGGGAAGGATCCCCAGAGGAGACAAGAAAATGACATTTTAACAGCCCTACTCTGAGTATATCTAGCATCCTCTGCTTGATTCTGTTACAGTACTCATCACCTTATACTCTAACTGCTATAAGTAAGATTAATTGTATTTGTTGGTCTCTTCCATTTGCTTTGACAGTCAATGACTTGTAAACAAGTTTATTGATGATACATATGCATGAATGAGGTCTAATTTAGTTACTTTTCACTAAGAATATGAAACTGTTCATTTTTCAAAACATTTATCAATATTTCATTCAATTAATAATTTTTTAATTTGGTGCTACTAGTGCCAATTAACGGTCTAAGTGTTTTACAAATAACTCATTTAATTAACATAAGAACCCCATCAGGTAGAAGATACTAATATCCCTATTTAGTTCATTTAAACATCATTATATCCTATGAGATAGATGCTATTACTGTTCTCATTTTACAGATGAGCAACCCAAAGCTTAGAAAAAAATTGAATAACTTTCTTAAAGTCACCCAGCAAGTAAGTGGTACTGCGTGTTTTTGAAACCAGGGAGCTTGGCTCGAGAGTTGATGCTCTTAACCAGTAACCATGCTACACTACTTCTCACTCTGATCAAAAATTGCCTACTAAAATAAATCTTTCTTAGCTGAGTTGAAAAGCTCACTAAATTGCCATAAAAGGCATCCTGAAGATGATTTCTCTGCCTCTCCTCACCTCATGAGGACCAAGTAGCATTTTCATTAAAAGTAGATATCACAGTCAGATGACTTGACCCTATGAAAAAGTTACAATATAGTCACACTATAAGTATTCTCTGATAGAACAAGCAGCCAGAGAAAGAAATGGCACCCACGCTGCTCAATTCTGCTGCTTTTCATTTCACTCTGCCTCTAAAAGGGTTTGAGTTATTCAGCCGCTCGCTCTGTAAACTCATATTTATCTAAGAGTCAGAAATACAAACTTTTGCAAGCTGGAATCAGGTGGTATGTCTGATGGTTTTATTTTTAATATTAGCCAAAGGAAATCTCCAGCATGATATTTTTTATTTCATCTGGAGAAAGGTCAGAACACTTATTGGAAAATCTGAAATAACAAGAAAAAAATCTCTGGCAAATTTTAGGGTGACATTAAGTCAAAGTATTTATTTTTCCAGGCTCTGACTCTGTGCAGTTAGGACTTTACTATATCTAAGGAGAATATTCCCTAAATAGTGGTGCAGACGTGGAGCTGATCCTGCTCCAGCCAGGCCCCTGTTCCTGTGCAGACGGGGTCACGTGCAGATTTGATAATCTCCTGCTTGAAGCCGCTCAAAATTTGGTAACTTTTATCCAGCTCCTAAAACAAGTGATCTTTTCAGTGAAAGTTAAAATAATCTGTGTAACACGAAATATTTGGTATGTTAGAGAAAATTTTTGTGGCATTTTTACTAAAATGAATGGCCAAAATTCCTCCTGAATAATTAAGATGGTGAATCCCCGTTTTGAAGGCTTTCTGATAATGTATATATCTCTGAGGTAATTAATATATTCATGATAAGAGGCATCTTTGTAAAATTTAAATTGCTATATGGAGGAACTTGACTCTTTAAACAATATGCATCCTACTTGCACAGTGCCGTGTGTACTGTTTGCTGTTTTGATTAATCTCTTTACACATAAATATTTTTGGACCGTGAAGTTCAAATATCTCTACCATAAAAAAGAATCTGTCACCTAGTAAGCAATGATTTTAAAGGCAAGACTTGGATTCTCACTTTCTGCCCCAATTTTGTAGTGAGGCAAGCCTTGGCTTCTATAATAAACTCCATCTATGTGTTCATATGCTGTGTTCATATGTTCAAATGCTTTATTGTATTTCTCAAGAATGTTGTTTGCACATAGAGTTCATGATAGTAACCAAGTTTGAGTGTTTTAATAATTATACCTTTCTTCACTAATGGGGGTTAATATTGTATCTTTCAGCCTGTATGATTCAGGAAGAGAACAATTTATTTGGTGAAGGAATCACTGTGTGCCTGTGCCAATGTGATTCTTTTAAATGAAGTGCCAGGAAACTAAGTGTAATTGCATGCATTTGGGGGAACTGTCCACACATTTGGAAAAGAACTGGCTGGGCCATTAGTGGCATTTTTTTCAGAGTGGAAATATTTTTTTTCATCCAAAGGACATGAGAAAGGAAAGATCTTCTGATCAAGAGGCATATTTTCCAAATAATCTATCAACTAGGGTTATTTTCCTCTTTTTAGGTCTGAGTAATAAACTTCCTTAAATATTGTACAAAATAGAAACCAATTTATAAGATAAAATCTCAGGAATTCTAGCTTATAAACAATTTTGTTTCTGGAGTTGTCTCTTTCTAAACAACAGAAAAGATACCACTCACCATAGGACCAGGTGGCCCATCTTGGCCTGCAGCTCCAGGGAGACCTTGTTCACCCTGTGGAAAATAAACATCATCGAGTTTTTTTGTGTGTGTGTGTGATGAAGATCAGCCCTTTAATAACATCTGCCAATCCTCCTTTTTTTTTTTTTTTTTTTTTGCTGAGGAAGACGGGCCCTGGGCTAACCTCTGTGCCCATCTTCTTCCACTTTACACGGGACGCCGCCACAACATGGCTTGCCAAGTGGTGCATCGGTGCACGCCTGGGATCCGAACTGGAGAACCCCGGCCGCCACAATGGAGCGCACACACTTAACGGGTTGGCCGCGGGGCGGGCCCCCATGATGGATTTTTTTTAATTAACAAAAACATACCTATTTCTTTTTTATTTTAATTTTGGAAATACAAAAAAGAAAGAAAGCATCATCTATGAATTCCATCTACAAATATTGTAAGCAGTTTTGAGGCTTTTCACTTTGTGTGTATATGTCTCATGCACATACATACAGATATACATACATACACACACATATATGTACAGATGGATGCATGTATAAAAATTTTACATCTTTGAGATCTTAGGGTTTAGTTTTCTATTCTGCCTTTATAAGTTAGAATTTCACCAAGAACTTATTAAATAAATGACCTACTTAAATATTTTAAGATTATCCGACTTTATTACATAATATTTACTGAATTCCCATAAAACGTCCCCACTATAATTTACGAAATAATGCTGACATAAACATCTTCACTCATAATTTTTTAAGAAATAAAACATTATTTTCCAAAGGCATCTTTTAGCACAGATGCTCACCACAGGGCCAGGGATGCCTCGAAGCCCCTCTGGACCAGGCTTTCCAGCAGGTCCCTGAGGACCAACTGGACCAGTTTTTCCGGGAGGACCTTCTGCTCCTGCCTCTCCCTGTTAGAAAATAAAATATGTGAACACATTAACAATGAGGAAAGGCATTTCATTACTTTATCAAAAGTACTGAAATAGATGTTGTTCCCTGTATGCACGAGCTTTCCAAACACAATACCTATGAGACGTATTTTACCTTAGCGCCTTTTTCACCTTGTCTTCCCTCTGCACCTGCAGCCCCAGGAGGACCCTAGAAACACAAACCTGCATTTAAAACGTGTATCACATGTGCAAGTAATGTAACGGAGGACTTATTTGCAAATACTCCAGTTTCATTTGTAACAAATTCTAATAAATTGTGGCTTTATATAGCTATTTCGTTTAAAATACAAGGAGAAAAATCAAAACTCTTTTTATGTAAAAACTTTCAGTTAGGATATCAAAAATAAATAAAATACAGATTGAGTGAAATACAGATAATCAAATCATATCAGTG